TTAACTATTTTTACTTAGTAGTAGTCGGTCGTACGATCGTATAAGTTATTTAGTAATACTGATACCAGAGAATAGTCGGGACAATTAAATACAGATAAGAACTACATATATATATATATATATATATATATATAATATTCTTTACCAAAATTATANGTTTTTGGAATAGTTGCAGCGGGCGATTTGATTAGAATCGGTCGAACTAATCGATTCGGGCCAGTACGGAGTACTCGGCCCGATCCGTTGTTTTGAGCACTGCTCAAAAAACATAGAAGCGGAGCCGAATCGCTGCTGGTTTGAAAAACGACCCTCCTGCGCTGCTATTGATTTGAAAAACGACCCTCGCTGCAGCGAGAAAGAAAGGCGACGCCCGTGGTGGTGGTGGTGGTCGTGGCAGTCGGTAGGCATGGAGTTTGAGAAGAGGAAGGGCATGGCTTTGGCAGCCTTGGCTTCAGAATTGGGCGATAAATCCCCTAAAGGATCAGTCGATGCCCCAATCCTTCTCTTGCTTCGCACCATCAACGCCATTCCCTCCTATTTCACCACCTCCTCTTGCTCTGGTAGAATCTCCATCCTCCTCCACCCTCATACCATTACGAAGAAGAACAAAAAGAAAGCGGGGGATTGGTTATTTGTGAGCCACGAGCCTGCAAATCCGGAAGCCGTAGTTCGGCTCTTGTTCGACGAGCAAGAGAGAGAGCAGGATGGAGGGCTTGTTGTGTTCAGATTTGAGCCATTCATTCTCGCTGTTGATTGTATTGATGTAGCCTCGGCCCAGTCCCTCGTCTCCACAGCCATCTCTTGTGGTTTCAGAGAGTCTGGTAACTCAATTTCAACCTCTCCTTCTTCGTACTTTTTGGTATTGGTTGGTTTTAATTTGTCTTCTCTAATGGGTATTTGTGGACCTTTTTGCTGCCATTTTATGTGCTTCAGTTTGCTTTCTATTTTGTTGTTGCGGTCATTCTTTTAGCTGGTCATCATTGGATTTCTGGTTAGTTGTTGGCTTTGTGAATAATTTAAGTGTGTATGAGTTGCTGCAAGTAATTCATTTTTTAATAGTGTAGAATTTGGAATAAAGGATAGTGTAGAATTTGCAATAAAGGAAACAATGAAAAGAGAGAAAAATCATAAAGAGATATACGTGGTGTGGCAATGGTGCCTACGTCTACAGAAGGTAAACCAGTATTTCATTTATAGGGATTAGGCTGGTTTACCAGAGATTTTATAGAGTTACAATTCTTGTCTTTTAGGTAACGAATCTCACTACAATAGTAATCCCACAAATAAGAAACTCAATATAGAAAACTTAGTATCTTGTAATATACAAGATAGGAAACTCAATATCTGATTTTTATAGCTGTCAACATTCCCCTCAAGTTGGTGCGTAGATATTAATGGAGCCCAACTTGAACAATATCTGATGGAATTTTGTCTTTGCAGTAGCTTTGATAGACATGCCTACAAGTTGGTCTTCATTTCGAGCATAAGGAGTACTAATAATTTTTTACAGAACTTTTTCTCTCACAAAGTGACAATTAACTTCTATGCGCTTGGTTCTTTCATAAAAAATTGGACTCGAGGCTATATGCATAGCTGCTTGATTATCACAGAACATCTACATTGAATTGATCGTTGGGAACTCCATATCTCGAAATAGGTATTTTAGCCACATCAATTCACTAGTACTTGAAGCCATAGCTCTATATTCGGCCCCTGCATTGGATCGAGCAACTACATTTTGTTTCTTGCTTTTCCAAGTAATTAAGTTTCCTCCGACCAATGTACAATAGCCGGTAATGGACCTCCTGTCAATTGGACTACCTGCCCAATCAACGTCAGAATAACCAATAATATTAGTTTGACCATTTGGTTTTATCCAAATACCTCTGCTGGGTGACGACTTAAGATATTTTAGAATTTTGTCGACAGTCTCCATATGACATGATCTAGGAGCATGTATAAATTGGCTCACAAGACTAACTGCATACATTATATTTGGTCGTGTCATAGTCAAATAATCAATCTCCCCACAAGTCTCTGAAAGTGGCTCACATCTTCAAGAGGTTTTCCATTTGTTGAATTCAGTTTGCAATTAATATCGATAGGAGTGTCAATGGGTTTGACTCCCAGGTTCCCAGTTTCTTTCAACATAACTAATACATATTTCCTTTGAGAAATAAAGAGTCCATTTTTTGAATGTGCTACATCAATGCCAAGAAAATACTTTAGTTGAACAAGATCCTTAAGGTCAAATTTCTTGTGAAGTTAATTTTTAAGTTTCATGATGCTTTATTTATCATTATCTGTAATGATAATATCGTCAACATAAATGAGTAGAACTGTTGTACCTGACAACTGTTGTACCTGAAGTTTCTCTTTTTGTGAACATTGAAGAATCAGCTTAACTTCTAAGAAACCGATACTCATTTGGCATACCATGCACGAGGTGACTGTTTAAGTCCATACAAAACCTTCTTTAATTTGCATACAAGACCTTTATCTTTTACTTTAAAATGACCTAAAGGAAGACTCATATAAACTTCTTCTTTAAGGTCACTATGTAAGAAGACATTTTTAACATCCATCTGATGCAAAGACCACCCACAATGAACTGCGATAGACAAAAGAACACGAATAGTATTCATCTTGTCAACTGGTGCAAAGGTCTCTTTATAATCGATTTCATAAGTTTGAGTAAATCCTTTGGCCACCAACCCGGCCTTATGTCTCTCAACAGCCCATCACTATTATATTTGATTTTATAAACCCATCTATATTCAAATGCTTTCTTTCCTTTAGGTAGCTTGACAATGTCCCAAGTATAGTTCTTGTCAAGTGCTTGAAGTTCCTGTTTCATGGCCTTCCTCTACATAGGTTGAGAAATAGCATTTTGAAAATTGGTTGGCTCATAATTATTAGAAATAGAACTCCAAAGAGTTGGGCAGTTATGATCCTGGTCATGTTCAAAACCCTTAGTCCTGGGCATGTGGCACAACGAAGAAGGGCTTACAGTGGGTCATCCCTCTTTGATGTCGGAGCAATGCCTAGGGATCATTTTTGTTGGCCAAAAAAACTGTGTGGTCTCCTATATACAATTGTAGGCATGTGATAGCAAGGGTCAAATTCTCAACAAACTTCTGCACATGTGTGCACATGGCAGCCGCATGGGAAGCGGCCTTATTGAGGGACACGTATACATTTGCATAGAGAGAACATCTTTTGCAATGTGGTGACAAGTGCTGGACTTGCTCTTAAAGGGGGGAACTGAAATCCACATTTTAAGATCATAGTCCCACTGTTTATTATCCAACTTTGATATACCAATCATGAGGCCTTACAACGAGACTGTGGGACATGGTACTTCGTTGGGTTGGATAAGAGAACAGTAGTGGATTATGGTTTCTGACGCCAGTGGAGTGCTCTTATTGTTGCTTGTTTTGACCTATTGGTACCAGTCTACTCTTAATATATTTTGTTTTTGGTATTACAAATGTTTATTTGATTTTTAATATTTTTTTCAGAATTTTTAAAATATTATTTATACTGTAATTTTTATTTTAAATTTATTAATGAATATTTAATAGTTTTAAATAATACATGTGGGACTAAGAATCCTGCTCCACATGTAGGACCACATGCACCCTAGGACCCATGCCCTATTTTTTGTACAACATATTTGACATGCTCTAGTTTTTTTGCTGAACTGGGGAGTACGCCACCTTTTCAATTAAAAGGAGTCACACCGAAATATTTTAACAAAAAATGGCCTCGCCCTGTTTTTAGGAGAACGGGATGGCACGCCCAAATGTTTTAACAAAATGGGGGCACGCATTTTTTTTGGAAAGGGGGGGTATGTTCCACTGCCATGATATAGTTTAAATTTTAAACTAACTTAAAACTAAGATGAGAAATCTAATAAGATTTGGTTTCGTGTATTTTTATGAGAGATCTAGAGATCTAGATAATATTTAAGTTTGATTTTAAACTTAAATGAGAGATCTAGATAAAGATTAAATTTGATTGGATATAAATTTTAATTAGGAGTTAGATTTGGTTAAACTGTAAGGGGATGACTGATTTTTGGGTTGGATGGCTTTGATTAATCTCTCACCCCATTGATTTTCTTATTATCCTAAAAGATTTAGCTGGAAATTACATAAGGTAATACTGAGATGAAATCTTATTCAAACTAGGAGAAAAAATTTTATTCAAACTACAAGATAGATTTTTGCTAGATTTCCTTCTATAAAATGATCTCGTTTAAACCTCTTTAAAACATGATTAGAGATCCTCTCTCTCTCTCTCTCTTTCTTTCTCTCATTCCCCAAAACAAGTCTCTTTCTCTCTCACGCCTCAAAATAGTTCTCTCTCTCTCTCTCTCTCTCTTTTCCATGCAAATATCCTCTCTCTTATTATTTCACGCCACCCTCTCCCTCTCTTTTAATCAAAGAGAAGAACGCCAGCCTCTCTCTCTCCTCTATATTTTGTCTTAAAAAAATAATATAGGTTGCCTTTTAGAGAAACCCTAGATCAAGGGTTTGCTGTATTTTTTTTAAAGGAAGGAGAGAGAAGCCCACCGAGAGAGATTAACTCTCAAGATCAGCCCTATTTTGTTCCTATAGGGTTTTTATAAACCCCAGTTTATTTTAGAGCTTTCGAAAACCTTAGACGAATAAGTATTGCCTACAAAGGAAGAAGAGAAAAGCCCGCTGAGAGAGAGCAACTCCCAAGATCAGCCCTATTTTGTTCCCTAAGGGTTTTTATAAACCCTATTTTATTTTTTAGCTGTTTAATACCCCAGAGAAAGAATTATTGCCTACAAAACTTCCTTATCTTAGAATTTCCAGTAACACCTGAAAGAGTAAAAGTGTGCAATTGGTCAGAGAATCGGGTGTGGCGTGTACTAAGTCCTGGTAGAGTTATTCCAGGAATCTTTTGGTATGCCTTCCCCTTCGTTTTTATTAAATTAAATGAAAGTTGTGGCTATGCAGAACTCAAGGGTATTAAATTCAAAAAATTTTCTTTTACTTTTATTCTAAATACCTGAATTCCTCTTATGTGGGCGACAATATATTGTTCGAAAATCAAAATAATGCCCTAAATACAACCTAAGATCTTTACTTTCATTGCAAAGAAAAATAGAAACTATCCAGGAACTTTAAACTATCTTCCACTAAAATTTTAGCACAAAATAAGTTTCTGACAATTTATAGAAAATAGGAAATAGTATTGAAAATAAATAAAAACTAGTGGGAACTTATTGAAAGATGCCTGAAGTTACCCTACCAAGACTTAGTACACTCTACACTCGATTCCTTGGCCAATGATGTACTTTTGCTCCTTAAGCTGTATTTGGAAATTCTAATATAAGGAAGCTTTGTAGGCAATCCTTCATTCTCTAGAGTTTTAGAGAGCTAAGAAAGAAACTAGAGTTTATAAAAATCTTATGAGAACAAAATAGGGCTGATCTTGGGAGTTGATCTCTCTTGATGGGCTTCTCTCTTCTTCCTTCAGAAAAGAATTCAACAAATCCTTGATCTAGGACTTTTCTAAAAGGCCACTTATATTTTTCTAACACAAACTATAGAGGAGAGAGAGGGTGGTGTGCTTCTCTTTGGTTGAAAGAGAGGGAGAGGGAGAGGGTGGTGTGAAATAATAAGAGAGAGAGGTCTTTTGCATGGAGAAGAGAGAGAAACTATTTTTGGGCATGTGAGAGACTTTTTTTTTTTGGGTGTGAGAGATAGAGAGGGAGGATCTCTAATAATGTTTTGAAGAGTTCAAACTAGATCATTTTATAGAAGGAAATCTAACAAAATCTATC